CCCCAAAACTGGATCAAAATCAATTCAAAAGGTGATATTCGTAATCACCGTGAAATTTTGCATCGAATGATATAGTTTTAAGTGAAAAATAAGAACTTGCAATTCTTTTGAATTAGCGGCGCCTTACCACGATTACAAAAAAAGGGTATTTCGAACTCTTCAATATATTCTTCTTCAAAGTCATCAATAGCAATTGATTCCGTAGGTCTTTTATTAATCATCTTGTCCTTCGCAATCATCAAAGGATAATCGGCTATTCGTAATTGTTTTTCTACAGTTTGTTGATATTCCGCTTTTGTAGTACGATATTGCTTACGGTCATACGCATTGGTTTGCGGATCACACCAAAATTCATCTTCACCTTCTAAACATTCAATGTTATTATTGCACCGAGCATCTTTTTTACATTCATTATTCAAACATAAAACATATTAAACAGTATACGATTGGCGGTAAATGATGGAAAGCTCGGGCTGTTTTTGTTTTGCAGTAAACACCTATGCCTAGGAGTTGACAGAGCTCGATTTTTGAATTTCTCATTTACTGATTTCTGGTGCTTAATAGAACTTTAAAATCTAAAAAATCCTTGGACGGTTTCTCAGAAATCCTCATTTCTATGAAAAATAGAAGTATAATTTAAAAATCGGACTCTGTCAACTCCTAGCTATAGGTGCTATCTACAAATCAAAAAAAGGAAAACTTTCTCCGATGCGATGTATCTTTACCGAGAATTACTGTGCGTGGCGAAAGCCCTGAAGCTAAAAAACAATATTAAGAAACACGCAAAATAAGTTTTGATTTTGTTAAATGCGTTTTACTTAAAAACTATTTGAGCGTTAAATAATTTTAACCTTAAAACAAACTTTGCTTTATTACAGAGCAATGTTGTGTACAGAGATGTTTGCATGAACTGTAACAATGACCGATAGAGTTCGAAGAAGGTGTTGGTGAACATTGGGCAAGCTTTTTCCATCATTTCAACTACTTGGTGACAGTGGTCAAGTGAACTCTTGTATTCTAATTCATGTTCGTATATAGAGGCAATCTTATAGAGTCGATCAGCAATAAGAGAATGGCTATCAGGTAAAAGACGTCGCCGCATCTAGAAAGCTTTTTTCATATAATCTAATGCAGCATCATACTATCTTTCTGCCATATATATCAAACCAATTGTGGCAAATGTATTTGTTTTACCAACATGATCGTTCGGATAATTTTTTTCATTCATAACCAATACTTGTGTACAGTACGTCATTGCCTTGTCCAAGTCACCTTTCAACAAATAAATACCTCCAAGATTGTTTAACGGACCAGCTAAGTGAGGATGATCAGAACGCAAAAGTTTCTGACGTAGTTCGTAAGCGCGTAGAGAATTTTCTAGTGCTAAATCTACTTCACCTTTTCGGTAATATATGTTACCTAACTGACTGTACACAGCAGAAACATCTTCATGATCATTTGGAAATGTTTAAAGTAACGTATGAAAATATTTCTCCGCTTTCATAAGCTGTCCCATTTCATTTCATAAAAGACGTCCAAACAAAATCGTTGGAGTATAATTATCTAGTTGACGGCGCACATAGTTGAGATATTCTTGAGCACCTTTCGAACAAACAACTATTGCTTGCAACCGTAAATGTGTATCATATTGAACTTCATCTACTTTAAACACAGCATCAAGACTAAAGAGAACTTCGTGTTCACATTTCATTTTACTGTATTTGTGTATATCGTCAAACGTCACGTTTTTGAACTTACAGTTGATTTCTATTTGAAACAAGATGGTCTTTAATTTGTCTGTGTCGAATGTATCGGCAACCAATTCATGCGCAACATTGATATCTCGAGTTTTTGAAAAAAATCCATTTGTTGATATTAGAATACCGACACTCTCATTCAGTTTCTGAAATTCTTGTGAGGAGATTTGTTGTCCAAGATACAATGTCCGAATTTCTTCTCGGGTGGCGGACATCCCTGAAAAGGCATGTAGAATATAACTTTTTTAGAGAACAAATATGGGATTCTATGTAACTTTTTATGCTCTACACGAGAAGAGTCTTGAAATTTTTGCGGCTATTATGTATGTATAAATTGGGCGGACCTAAATGCCAGTACCCAAAAACCTCTAACTTTTCACGATTCCTTCTGGCTAATGAAAAAACCACCAACCCCTGTTTTATTGTCATCCAGATTATTAAAAGAGTTCCTTGCTACACAATTAACTAAGGTTGCGGTTGGTAATCAATTACACAACGTTTTAGAGCATGAGTATTACCACAAAGCCCCTCAACACTACGACACATTACAGAAAGAGGCATGTCACAAGATCAAAAATACCATCATCATTCTTTAGCACCGTGTGAATAAATAGGCCGAAATATTTAAAAACAAATTTTATCTTTGTATTTTGGTGAAAATAAAAACAAAAATAAAAATAAAATAATTCTCTTAACGTAATGGCAATTAAGGGTGTTACAGCGGCATTAGTATGGAAATTCAAAATACATGTTTGAAGACCGATAACTAGGACAGTAAACGAAAAAAATTACTTACTCAGCTGGCGATGATGTTTAGTGTTCACGAGATCTTCATTAAACTTTCCACTGTGACGCTCGTTGAAAGACACGCATACGAGAAGAAAAAAAGAAATGTTTTAAGTACGACGTTATGTTATCAAGTCAAAAATGCTACACAGTAAAGTAGAACAAATTGTTGCAGATACAATAAACCTAAAACGTGATTTTGCCCGTAGACAATAGGACTTTCTCGATTATGCATAAAATATATGAACTAGATGAACTAAGTTTAAATGTACATGATAATTTGAAGTCGTCAAGCCGAATGAAAGACCACTCAACAAACGATACCGATTCAGATGAAGATGATGATAGTAATGACAACAGCAGTACCATTAATGACGAGGACGATGATGAACACAACAGTTTCAACTCGGACACTGAGGACGATCATGATTCGATTACAACAAATACAACAGACTTTCCTACATTTGATTTAGCATTAGACTTGACAACGAGTGAAATTAGTGAAGAAGAAATTCTGAATACGGAAGAAAACGGTATGATACTATGATACTTAATGATAATAATAAAAAAATTGTTACATACCCAGAGCAAATAATAAATGAAAACAGAGTATCTCCTTACACTACTGCCAGAACAGACGTACAAAGAAAGACTGATTCGACCATCACTTTTGTACAACCCGAGAAAACCCGGGTGACTACCTTTGTAAATAGCAGAGAGACAAAGCGAACAGAAAACGATGCTAAACAAACCACCTTAATGGTGAAGTTAAGAGATGATCACGGCAACGATGCAAAATTGGCGCAGCCAGGTGCCATAGTTAAAAAACAGGCAAATTAACATCGCTCCACGAAATGATATAAATACTGAAAAGAGAAAAGAGGTAGCAGTTGATGCTAATAATATTGTTCGAGTGAGAATAGATACAAAAAGTAACAAACGTATAATTGAAGAGTTGAAAGAAAGAGAAGAAGTAGAGAAAGAAACAGACGATGAAGCACGAGAAGGGCGTACTATCATCATTCAACGTAATCAGAATTTAGAATAAACACAGATGGAGACCAGGTAGGAAAAATTTAGTAAACATCGCCTCTACCGCTGGCTACCGACAGCAACGCTATTACTATAATAATTTGTACCAACGATACAGCAACACGTCATATCAGCGATATAGACATGATTTTAATAATCCTAGAAATGTTTTAGATAATGGATATGGGCGTGATAACAAGCAGATAAATGACAGAAAGAGCGAGATTAGTTGCGACCGCTGTAGCCACGTGAAATATACAGATATACATTTTTAAATAAAAATAGCGACCGATCAGATATATCTGCAAGAGATGAAACGGACAAAATAGAATAATTCTAGATAGTGATCAATTAGATATCTCTCTCATTGTTCGTACAGATCACACTTTCCCTGCCCATTGTTTTCGAGGCTTCATTTTTGATCAATTTCATTACACAGTATTTCAACTGACGAAGAGTGCTGATCACTCGAAACTTGTTTTATTGTATTATTGTATTTATATTCGTTTTACATTATATTTATACATATTGTGTAAAATATACTTCCACCATCATTGTTAACATCATCATCATTATTGCTGTTATTGTTATTATTGTTTTTGGTCGGTGTTATTATAAACATTTGTTAATATAAATATTGCTTACACTAAATCGAACTATAACTGGAACAATTTCAAGGTAAAGGTTTACTTTTCATTTCTAATTCTCACCTTACGAAACCTGAGCATTGAAAAAATTGAAGGCACAGAGAGCACCTTAACCTAGAAACGAGCACGCATAGATTTTAACACGAGCGTTAAGTAAGAAATGTACCAACAGCAATGCGAGTCTACGTTTCTTATATATGATGGAAGAGACACTAATAACAGCAATGAATTAAATACATTGTTAATTAAACACATGTCATTACTTAGCTAAAAAACTAAAATTTTGTGAGTGCACTAAATCAATCTAGCTGCAGCTGGTAGCCGCCTCAGTGCTAGTTACAGCGGGATGAAACAAAGTAAAAAAAAGAAAAAATCAAAAAAAGAAGTAGCTTCAGCAGAGATTCGAACGTTGTATATATAGCTTAATAACCTTCTCAATCTGCCGCTGTATCACAGGAAAACCTAAAAGCGTGAATTTTTCGTTGTGGTCTGATAATTTCGTGAATAACTTAAAAATTAAATCCACGTGTTAGTTTAAGAAGCGTTTAAAGTATTTTTTTTCTGTAGAATCTGCTTCATAAAAATATTCCTTGTCTATTCGTTGAATGAAAAAAATCAATTGTGACCATATCGTTTATCTTCTCCACACCTTGAAGGCTAAATTTTTTAAGATCTCCATATGCCGATGGAATTCTGGAATATGACAGGCGAGACAATGCACATACTGTGCTACTAAAACAGAGCGCACACAGTACATGTTTACATTCTTCATAAGATTCATTTTCATCTTGCTAAACAAAAAAGATTTTTATCTGTTTTTGAAATTTTAAGAAATAGACTTCCGTATTTTTGAAAGAAAAGAATGCGTTAAAAAAGGTTTTTTTGGTGGAATTTATTTACTTAACTAAATTCTTTTAGTTTACTTAAGTAACTAAATAGAAAAAGAGAAGTCCTAGTAACTTCTGCTTTCTGGTGATACTTTGTAACCTGAATGAATTTTTCAAACACATTTTTCCATATGATGTTTTCCTTTCACTATGAGTTTGCTGAATTGGCTATAATGACGTAAGCAGATCAATTTTAAGAAGAAAGTTTTGAAAAACATTTTTTTGGTGGCTTTCTGAATGAAACGTTGTGATTTATATTTTCTGTTCTCTTATGAAGTACAGTTGGATTATCTTTCGTTTAGTTGCTTCAAAAATTCATAAGTTATCATTTATGTTTTTCTCTTTAGAATAAATATTGTATTTTTAATCAAGGTGAAGTTCGGAGTTTTCTCCGCAGTAAAAAGTAATTCATCCGTTTTCGTATTGTTTAATTGTACCTCTCTTTAAAAACTGTTTATTTTATTAGCGAAAAACTATCTTACTTGATCTTTACCGAATAACTTAAGATAAGTTTGCGCCCAGTCTTTACATAAACATTTAACTTCTAATGGATTATTTGGATCATTTGCTTCTTTTAACAATTTCAAAATACGGTAAAAATTTTGTATCAGACCCATTATGCTTTGTGCTTTCTGCTGATTCCATATGAATTTTTCTAACCGTAAGTTTGACACGAAGATATCATGCTTATCACCCGATATGGGACCAATTGTAACAATTTTTTCTTTTTCTATTGGAAATCTAATGTAAGTCTGAAATTGACAGAATCTCTCATTAAGTTTAAGTTACAAGTGAAGTAGCAATGGAAAAATGTATTAGTACTATTGTATGACCTAAGTCATCTCGGAAATGCTAAATGAATGTTGTATTTGCATTTTTTCTTCTGTGATCATAACGAAGCGTCTACCTCGTACTTTAGTTTCCTTTGAATGTTGTTTTAGAAGTTTTAATGTAATTTCACGTTGTGGTTTCTTTATATTTTCGGGAGGTGGAACAGTGCAAGCTTCATATATCACATGTTTCAATAAAGTATCTATAATTCTCAGCTTCATATGAAGTATGTCTGGTATGATATCGATATATCTAAGGAAGCATCAGATATTCATGAGAGCCGATTATTATAAAATACTTTTTCATATGGAATGGGAATATTGGTCGAAACATTCCTCGCTCAGCTATTGATGTTTTTGTTTTCTGAAATTTGGAAAAAGTCGACATTATTGTTCATATCTCAGATTGCAAAGAATCTTGACAATTGTCTAGAAGATGAACTTCTTTTGTTGAATTTTCGTGGACTACAAAGTGTCAAAAAGAGCTGTATAAGTTGTATCTGGATGGCGAGAGGAAAAGCATGGAAAAATATGACTCACAACTCAATTTTTCCATACACTAGAAAACTATGTTTGTCAAAATTATTGCGATTATACTCATCGTAATCTACATTGAATACAGAATCGAACAATGTACTATTCGAAAAGCTGCCAAAACTTTTTTATTTAGTACAAAAATCAGGCGAATATCCTGCGTAGGCGAATTTAATGCAAAAAATTAATTTCTCTTCAAAATCGCATTTCAATGCTTTGTTTAATATTTTATATGGAATCTAGGTTAGAAATGAATAAAGATAGCATTGAAAACGTTTTCGAATGCACAAGAATTTGTTGCTAAAAATTGTCTAACGAGGAAACATTTCCAGATGCCCCGTCCCGTTTTGACTCATTCATACCTTAATCAATAGAGTACATCGAGATAGTAAAAGCCCAAAAGGATTCGGGCCTATGCGACTTCCTTCCCGAGTTAAGATTAATTTAGCGAAATTTGAATTTTTGGGATTTTTTCTTGAACGCACTATTTCAACGGGTTAAAGAGCTAACACTCACAGCAATAATCGCTCCAAGCAAAGCTCACGTGCTGCAAAAAACATTTCACTTTAGTCTTGTGTCCTTCATGAGAAATCGAATTTTCTGTTTATCATAGAGTATTTGCACTACCTTATGACCTGGGGATGAAATAATTTTTTTCCCGTTATTACGCTTGCTTTGACACTCATACGTTGATAAAATGATTTACTGTCTCTATTAGAGTGCTTTTAAATGTTCGTGCTATTGAATTACACGATCAGAATTTTTTTTTATCTGAAAGTCATAAGGCAGTGCAGATACTCTATGAAAAACAGAAAATTCGATTTGTCATTAAGGACACAAGACTAAGGTAAGAAATGTTGCAGCACATGGGCTTTGCATTATTATTGCTGTGAGTTTCAGCTCTTTAACCCGTTGGAACAGTGCGTTCAAGTAAAAATCCAAAAATTCAAATTTCACTAAATTAATCTTAACTCGGGAAGGAAGTCGCATGGGCCCGAATCCTTTTGGATTTTTTACTATCTCAATATACTCTATTGATTAAGATATGAATGAGTCAAAACGGGACGGGGCATCTGGAAATGTTCCCTCGTAAGGGGATCAGTGAATGACTTTTGGGACAAGGTAGAAAGGTTTGTTTAAATCTCTCCTTTGTCGAACCATCGTGCGAAAGAATAAAATTTTGGCACAGCTAGATGAAAAGGCATTGGTAGCTTTTCGAGTAGCACATTGTTCGACTCAGTTCTGTGTATATTACGAATACCATGTTTAGTTTCGCTGATATGCAATTTTATTAGATTTGTATCATTTTTTGACATGAATGTTAAAAAATAACATAAATCTAATTGTTATTGAATTGTCAGTTCTACGAAGTGCATGGATTTTCGCAAAGTTCCACTTAGCAAGCTTAGTGGCAATTTCAGATTTCAACAAGAACTTGTTTTTTTGAAAATTCCAGACAATTACAAAATATTTTCTTTTACTTACTTAGGCGTAGTAATCGATTCGGTGTTCATTGTTGTTTTCCTTTTGTTCTGTAACGGTTACAGAACAAAAGGATGATAGGGATGCAAAAAATTTGAAAAAGGTCAGTTTTTTACGTCTATGAGAGTTTCATATTTCGTGGTTTTGGGGAATCCATATGTTGATACTAGATACCAGTTTATCTTCTTGTCCGTCTTCCGCAAGTCAGAGTTGAGATATCTCTAAAATATTCTCTTTTGCGAAATAATGCAAAAATAATCAGTTTTTGTCCAAAGCAAGTTCTGGAAAACAAGATGACTCTGGAAAACAAGTTCTGGAAGACAAGATGAAAAGAATTTTTTACTCTGGCTTCTAGGAGCCGGCCGTAAAGGGTTAACACGTCGATAGGCTTGTCTCGTAGTGTGGAAATGACATTAGTCATAATCAAAGTCAATAATTTCAAGGAGAAGGAATGGCATCACCATCCTGTGGTGAAAATCATTTTATTTTGAACGAAGGACGATCTATTACGATGTTACATACCATAGAAAGATACCTTTCGACGAAAAAGCCAGTAATGATACGAACAAAAGAGTGTTAGGAATCATCGGTTTCGCTACTATACTCCCGTTTCCGTTCTGCATGACTGATGTTGCAGTTCATTTCATCACCAATAAATTGCAGTTTTCCTGTAAGGCGAGTCCACAACTCCACTGGTCTACGGAACCGAGCATCAGACTTCGCATGCGTTTTACGTTGAGTGTTCATTTCAGGATAAAAATAATATATCAGTCGTGCTTCAACATCATCCAATAAGTCTTTCGCCGTGTCTATAGGGCTAATCCACTTGAGAGGAAGAAATCCTGTAGTGTGCAGCATTACAACATCAGCTTGATAGAATAATTTCCGTTTTCCATCAAATTTCGGATCTAATAATAGTGTTGCAGCTTTATGTCCGTCTTTCTACAAAAAAAACGTCATCCAAAATGTCTAAGATAGAATAGAATAAAGGGTATCTATGTTGATGAACAATCAGGTTTTACACCCGGAAGAAGGCTGCAAACACGGATATTATCTTTATGCGAAGATTTAAGACTAACAATTGCTGCTAGTAACCGTCCAGCATTAATAATCTTCGTGGACTTTATGACTGCCTGTGGTTTCCAGCTCTGATAAGTAATTTATATGATTAATCGTATAGACTGTGCCCACTATACTAGCCTACATGTTCATTGATACCGTTTTTTTCCAGTTTTAATTTTATCATCAATTTTAAATAATTTTTCATTCACCATTTTATTATCAATCATAACTATAAGTTCACTTACATCATTTAAATTTTTACCATACAACAATGTTTGATTATACACATGTTCAATACGCACAATTTGAATGTACAATGAATCAACTAGATTCAATAAAAAACAAAATGTCTTGGACGATGATATTATTAACATTAGAAAAAATACCATCATAACAGTTGTTGATAATCTCGACAATATTCTTGTAGAAGAATTTATTTCAGACAATATTCGACGAAATTGTTGAATAAAACTGACGTTACTAAAATACAACAGATTGTATTCAGACAAGTATTCTCATTAGAATAGTTTATCGAACGTTCATTCTTAGATGTAAAATGATCTATTGTCCATGCAAAAAAAAGAATGGTATATGACTGTTTTTTGAATAACTTTCGATAGGAAAAAGCTAAAGAGCTTCAATTTTCACCATTCGAAAGAGGAGACTTGGGGACATGTTTTCATAACCAAAACTTTTGCTAGAAGAGCTTTCTGGAACAGGTTTTCCAGGGGATCTTTGGAAAATTAGCTCGCGTGTAAAAATTTTCCAATAGGATTGTATTGATTTGTTTTCACAGACTGATAGCCCAGGGTGTCCTTTTCAAATTGAGAGTCAAGTGAGACCTTGATTTTCCACGCTTCGGGCGTTGTATCGGATTTCCTATGAATCCCAGGACTGGCACCCAGTGACGATTGGTAGCCTTCAAGACGGATGAACTATGCGTAATCGACCACGCTGCGTCTCGCGGCAATATTTGTTTTTAGAAAAGTTTTAAAATTCTACCGAAAGCGAGTTTTACGAAAATTTGTGTTTTCAGGCTGTTTACACCTAATATTAAAAAATTCGCCAATCACTCAGTAAACATCAGAACGACTTCAAAATTTTCAGGATATGGTTAATTTCCTCCGCTAAACCTGATCGTACGATCGAAAAATTAGAAAAGGCATAGTTTTGCAGCTCGGTTTTTCAGAAAACCTTTTGTAAAACCGTAGGGTTTTGTGAGATTTCTTTTTAGATTTCCTATAAACAGGATAAAGAATAGCATAAATACTCCACATTCTGAAATCTTGAAGTCGTTCTGATGTTTACTGAGTGATTAGCGAATTTTTTAATATTAGGTTGAAGCTCTTTAGCTTTCTCCTATCGAAAGTTATTCAAAAAACAGTCATATACCATTCTTTTTTTGCATGGACAATAATTGTTTTTTCTTTTTCTTTTGTTTACAACTATTGTTATAGTTACCGATGAAAATGGCGTTTATTTTGAAATTCAATTAAAAATACCTAGTTCACTTGATTTGACTATTGGTTTGAAATATATCTTGCATGATATTCACTTAATTAATCGACTAAATTTCGATCAGTTATCATCAAAATATCATCAATTGTTCTCTAGACCACCAAATATTTTATATCTCTTTGAATCAATGCATTCTCTTATGTTTCGATCAACTGATTGAAATAGAAAAGAAACTGAACAGTAGACATGGC